TTGCATCTAACTTGACGTACCTATTGATTAATCGGAGAGCATGGCTTCAAGAAATTCCCTGCATTATTGAAATAGACTTATTCTAACGATGCGAGTTTTGTCCCATGAGAAGGTGTACTCAGTATCAGGGGTGTGCATTCCATTTGAGACAGGTGGTCTTGCCTCTTCGTGAATGCGGGTAGAGACAGATTTTCATGTTTAACCACAGTATAGGGCATCACAGGCATCACATGGGATCTTACAGACAAATCCCTTTCTATCGAGATAGCCAACCCTATATCTAGGGCGCATAAGCCGAGTGCGTTAATTAGTCGTCGTCTTGTGCGCCGAGGTGACAATGCAGAAACTGGAATCGACAGCTCTTCCACTAGTTAACCTTAAGTTGTGGGTGCGATATGTAGATGACACATTTGTTGTCGTTAAAAAAAGATGAACTGGAAGTGCTACACAACACCATCAACTCAAGCATCCAGAGATTAAAATTCACGCTTGAAGGGGACGTTGATAATAAACCCTCATTTCTAGGTATTCTCGTTATTTTTAATTAAAAATCCATTTTGACTCTTGTTAGGATATACTGACTTCGCAGATTTCATGCAGCTCCTCTGTCTCGGATTTCGTAAGTTCAATTTATTGTCATCATTCGTCTCACACGGCATAATTTTTATGCAAATAAAGTTAAATAATGGTATAAGATATCACATATTTTATTTAAGCCAACTGCTGCATCACTTTTGTGTTAAATGAAATTATTTGAAATAAATCTTAACAAACTTGACGCGTGCTCGCCCTCTCGTCGTTAATTGATCAAACAATTAAGTGAAAATTCTAACAAAGCTAGCTGCCGTACCGTCCGGTCAAAGCAGTCATAAACATACTCCAGTCAGAAATTGGTCTTGTTAGTGCCTAAGATAGACTAAGAGTTGTTGCACCTACAGTGCGTGACTGATCTCATGAAATGTTGGCCGAAATTCTGGAATGCGTTTCCCATTAGGAAGGATTACTTAAGTGGGGTTGTTATACTGATTACCATGCAGCATAACCCCATAACATTTCGGACTCGCCAGGATGTCGGCTTTTGAATGCACTTGTTTCTTGCCTTCTGCAGAAACCACAGTCGGTAAAAAATGACTACTTAATTAACATGCATTTTTCCTATTGATTTTCGATGGTCTTAAAAATTTAAATATATTTTATGGGTGACGTACACAAAATATGCTCTCTTTTGCTCATTTAGTAAAAAATCACATTGTCTTCATATTTAAGCCCGAAGAAAGTGTATATTAAGGTTTTAAAAAAAGTCTCTAATTATGAGATTTTTTAGACCGTGCGATGTCCATGCATGTAAGACCGTACATTTCCGTTTACTAATGCCCCTAATGAAATTGACAATACAGTCCACATCCGTTGCGGAATTTCACGTATTCTATGCGACATCTTCTTAAAGGCATAGAGGAATATGTGATTCTCCCTACGCTTAAAGCGTGCACATTGTAGACCGAAATTGCTTAACGCCGACGCATTGGCAGATCAGGCTGAAAATAATTCGGGAGTCGGGAAACATTTTTAAAACCTAAATATATATATATATATATATATTTCCGGGCACAAGATATGAAGACACTGTGATTTTCTACTAAATAAGCAAAACAGAGCATATTTTGTGTACGCTATCCGTAAGATATATTTGAATTTATAAAACCATCTAAAATCGATAAGAAAAATGCATGCTAATTAAGCAGTTATTTTTTACAGAGGGTGGTTGCTGCAGGAGGTCAAAAAGAAGTTCATTTAAAGGCCGACATCCTGGCGAGTCGAAATGTTATAGAGCTATACTGCCTGATAATTAGTATATCAACCCCCACTTAAGTAATCCTTCCTAATCGGAAACGCATTTCAGAATTTTGGCCAACATTTTATGAGATCGGTCACGCGCTCTAGCTTCGTTTTGTCGATCTGCATGTTACGACCGTGCCGGCATTGTCCACATTGCCTACATTGTCCATAAACAGCTTCGGACGTTTCCTGGCAAGTTAGTAAAATACTCTTATTCAGTACTTGGCTCCGAATGGTTGCCTACAGCTGATTATTTGTATGGAGTCTCACAAAATTAAAGTTTAGTAGGATTTGGTTTCTCATCTCCTCTGTGTCTTGTCGGAATAACGAGGCTGCACGTTTGGTAGTAGACGAAGTATTAACATGCAGAACAAAGCATTTCGAGGTACCCTTCAAAATGCTGTACCAGGAACCAATGGTGGCTGCTATTTTCTCCGAGTAGATGAGTGTACCTACGCCTGTTATACTCTGTGACTTATTATGACACAACCGAAGTTAGTTGCGCTAATAACATTGCACAGAGCGCCTGTGTTCTCGGGTCCAGAGTTGTTCATTTTTTTGTTCACTCAGGCATTTGATACTGTCATCAGTAAGGCGAAAGCAGAAGGCATAATTGGCAGACAGATCAGTTACACAGCTGCCGACAAGTGGCGCAGCCTTCGATTGGTGCGAGTATGCCGAGATTATTCACCGCGTGTAACGTCACACTGGGTTGAGCTTCTACGCGCACGGCTCTACTCTGTCGACATTCTGGGTGGGGTCGCTACGAAGGAGGCTGCACGAGACGTGCTAGATGGTATGCCGCCTAGTGCCAGAACTAAGCATGCGGGCCTTTATGACGACCCTATTGCCAGATGCGAATTCTTGCGGTCTGGCGCGTGCGCGCGGGACGGTAAGCGTGTGTGCGGCACGCGTAGAGGTAAATCCGCACGTTTGGGTTAACATTATGCTACAATACAGGCAACGCTCTCTTTCTGGAAGATCGATAGGTCGGATCTTATTTCGTAGCCGTACTTGCAGCAGACAAGCCCTAGCCTAACCTCCAAACCTAATCCGAACCCCCAACCGCTAACCACTTATCCCTAATCCCAAACCCCAACCCTAGCCCCTAGTCCCAACCCCCAACATCAAACCCTAACCCGAAAGGGGCACTGCTACGAAATAGGGCCTTGCCCCGTCGGCTAGATCTTGGAAAATTAACGGTAAATGTAAGAATTACAGCTAACCAGATGTCTGCAGAAGGTCGGAAGAGCTGCTACAGTCATCCAAAAGGTTGGTTAACCCCTAACTCCAACTTCTTACCTGTAACCCCTTATCCCAACCCCTAACCCCAAAAATTAACCCTGAACTCTAACCGCAACCCTTAATCCCAACCCCTAACCCTGAACTCTTACCGCAATCCCTAACCCGAACCCCTAACTCCAACCGCCAACCGCTTACCCCTAACCCAAATCCTTAAACCTAGCCTCTAGTCCCAACCCCTACCCCCTTAACCTGAGGCCGAACCCCTAAGGGGCACGGCTACCAAATAAGATTTTGCTGACGGATGTTTCCTACAAACCAAGTGGGTCAGCATGTAGAAACACAGAGACCTGGCTCTTGGAAGTTTGGGAAAGTAACGATAAATGTAAAATTACCGCTAACAAGATTTTGGCAGAAGGCAGGAAACGTTGCTACAGCCATCCAAAGGTTTGGTTAACCTGCCGCCTTTGTCACTCATGTCGGAGCCGTGGTACTCCAATGCTACGTGAATATTATTTCATTCATTTTAAATAAGTCTTTGAAACTTTTAAACTAACGTTTTTTTGACAACCTCAAACATCTGAGAATTCCCCTATTGCAACTGAGCTATTTTGGCAGAGGTAAATTTTAACGTGACCGAGGGGTAGGTCTTTTTTCATATCAAGCGCTTGAAAAAGTGATTGGTTTTGTTGACGATATTTTTACAATTTTCTGATCAGCAGACAGTGGACTGTTATTCAGGATACAGAAGTCTCGAACACGATGCGTTTTGGGTACGTATGTCCCTGTAGCATTCATGTTAAATGCTTTCCTCCGGTGAGCTTTGCTTGAAGACTGTGGACCTTTAGTTGGCATTATCGACACTGTCGATCTTCGACACGACAGTCTACCTGACGACTTTCCGATAAACCTTACATCTATTTGGGATAAGAGCCGAAATTTTGTTTCTTGCCGGTAAAAGCGGTCATCATGCCGAAGCTTAGACGAATGAAATAAGTTTGATGGAGTCGTGAAGGGCATATTCGTTAGGATTTTCGATGAAGAAACCAGTAGGGGTATTGAAACAGTGTGTTCGGGGGGGTGACCTGCTGACTTATTTGTGAAAAAGCAGGGTGAGAGGGAGAGAGAGAGAGAGAGAGAAAGAGAACGAGGAAACGTCCTTCAGTCGTAGCGTCCGAAGCAAATATAGCGAGACTTACGTTGAGGCATTTTCCCTATTCGAACATGTCGCGGCGTGCAAAAGAAGGGGACCCAGTATAGGACACAATCTGATTACCGATTCACGATATGAGCCGCCGTGATCACGCTCCACGGCTTGTTTAAAAACTTAGACTAATCTGTTCGGTCGCATTCGCGGGCGTCCGTTTGAGGTTTGAGGACATCTTTGTCTTCTCATTATTCATAGTTTGCAAGACAGGACCGACCCAATTCGTGCCCCTGTTCGGCTTCATAACTGGTCGATCGGATTCTCAGTTAATGGTCCAAACGAGAACTCGTCCTCTAGCAGCTAATCAGTGGGAGCATTAGTTCGCATTCTACATTATCCGACATGATGGTTCGTTAGTTGATTTTTCAGTGCATTCTGCCTGGGCCGGAGGGGGTCGCAATTATTGTCTCAAAATATTTATGCAGACATCGGTCAGCGAGACGTTGATTTAAGCATCATTCGGACACCACTCACATAGGAAATTCTGTATCTACGTCTAAGGTACTTTGACAAAAGAGTAGTGTTGCCAACCAGAACAGTAGTCTGGGTTGTGCTTACATGTTCTACTGTCTGATTACAGTCGTGATCCGGTTGGAGTTCCTTAAACCCGTGAGTTTCAAAAGACGGCCATCTATGTAAAATTAACAAGCTACCGACCAGATTTCAGTAGTATACAAATACTGCATTATTAATCAGACGGGCAGCAAAGGCCGATGGCCGCGTATTTCATCGTTATCGCCCCGTTTGAGAAGACTTGCTCATGCAAGGCGAAAAATTCCATTGCTTTTATGTATAATGTGTAGTCGCGGTGATATTCATTCCAAATTGCCGTGTACTTTAGCTCCTGGAATAGCAGTATCAAGTGGACACACTTGAAATTTCTTAACCACTCTTCCTACCTTATCTATCTGATTGCCTACTACTTAAACACTGCAGAAAAATACAGGAGACTAAATGCATTGCTTCGTACCTTAGGAATCAGTATGGCGGACACGTAACGTTTCACCATCTCCTCTGATTGTCCAGGTGGGAACAATTCTTTCCATAAGTCTATGCAGTACTGGTTTTTTGAAAACGTCTGTGAAGACGCCTGGTTGATCCAATGTCGTTTCTCTTTTAGCCCCCAACGACACCCACGTGCCATAGGTTCTACTCACAAAAAAACGTGAAGGTAATAATCTTTGGTGCAATTCAGTATGTGTGTGTGCGCGCCTGTCGCGCGCTCTCATCACCCTTTGTGAGGAATTCGAGAGGAATTCGCTTTATTTTGAAATCACAAGTTTAAAATTTTCAGCAAAAAATTGCCCCCATCCACTATGGGCAGTAAATAAGTTAATATATTACCCACGAGTTAAAAAGTTTAACACAAAAGGGATGATTATTATGGAGACAGTTATAGTCTTAACTTCTGTATTTCTACTCCTTCACACGTAAGAGAGCTCGCCAGGAAGGACAATACGGAAGCTCGAAAAGCTGATGTGCGACAAAACACAAGTCGAAAGCTGCGGCGCAGCGGGCAGAAAAACTTGGTGGAAATATGATTAGAATGCAAGGAATGGGTAACGTCATCTATAATCCGATCTGCAAATCGTTTGACCGTATTGAAATGTCGTTGAAGTATAGTGTCGACGAAAAAGGATAGGAAACACCAGCAGCAGAAGAGAGCATTTGGAGGACTCGTTTTAAAATTAAAAAATCTTTTTTAACAAAGCAGGAAAAACGAGAGGAGAGCAATATAGGATAAGAGGAAGAATGCAGGCATCAATGATTCGTCAGACTAAGGGTTGAGGTGTGTGGTAGGAACGTAAACGACGAATGTAATATAGAAGTTTACGAACTTCAGTAATTTGG